CATTGCTGCGCTCACCTTCACCCTCGACTCTGGCGCTTCCCGGTATTTCTTCCATGACTCCACTATGCTGTCCCCGCTTGCTGCTCCTACTGCGGTTTCCCTTGCTGACCCCTCCTCGGGTCCGGTAGTCGCTCGTAGTTCTACCACCCTTCCCTGACCGGCGGCTCCTTCGGGCTCGCTCACAGGCCTGCACGTCCCCTCGTTTTCCAGGGAACCTAGTTGGTGTTGGCTGCCTCCAGGACCTTGGCGTCACCACTACGTTCCCTGGTCACGAGCGGCTTGCTGTCTGTACTGAGGCCGCCACTGGTGCTCCCCTCGCTACGTTCCCCCGCGACCCGGTGTCTGGCCTGTTCACACTGGACACCGCCCTCCCCCCCCCTCGGTTCGGACGCCCCCCCAGGTAGCTGAGTCGTCCCAGGTTGCAGCGGCCTGCTCGTATCGGTCGCTTACTCACCCGACCCTCCTGTGGCACCACCGTCTAGGTCACCCTGCGCTCCTGCGTCTCTTTCACATGTCACAGCACGGTCTTGTCCTAGGTCTCCCAGGGTCGTTCCCCGAGTTGTCCCCCTCTACAGCGCCACCGTGCACTCCCTGCGACGAGGGTCTGCTTAGCCGAGCCCCTCACTCCTCCTCTTTCCCCCCCACCACCGCACCGCTACAGACCTTGCACATGGACGTCTGGGGCCCCGCCCCTGTCCATGGACCGCGTCGCGAGCGCTACTTCCTCGTGCTTGTCGACGACTAAACGCGCTACACCACGGTTTTTCCCTTGGAGCGGAAGGCCGATGTGCCTGACGTTCTTATCCCCTAGCTAGTCTCTGTGCGTGTCCACCGCGGTCTCCTTGTCCTACGTCTTCACTCTGACCGTGGTGGCGAGTTTGCCTCCGGTGTCCTTGGTCGCTTCTGTCGTGCGGAGGGCATCACCCAGACGTTCACCATGCCGGACTCGCCGCAGCAGAATGGGGTTGCTGAGCGACGCATCGGCTTGGTCATGGAGGTGGCTCGTACCTCCATGATCCACGCCGATGCACCCCATTTTCTATGGCCGTTCGTGTTTCGCTACGCTGCTCACCAGCTTAACCTGTGGCCGCACCCTCAGCGGCCGCAGGTTTCGCCAACCCTTCCTTGGACCGGGTCTCCTGGTGACGCGTCTGCGTTCCACGTCTGGGGCTGCCTTGCTCACGTTCGTGCCTCTGGCAATGACAAGCTCACAGCCCGCACCGTCCCCTGTGTCTTCCTCGGTTTCCCCCTTGACTCGTCCGACTGGCACTTCTACCACCCGCCGTCCCACCGTTTCTTTCACTCCCGCGACGTTACCTTTGACGAGTCCGTTTCCTTCTACCACCGCTTTCCACACCGTGGTCCCCCGGTTACCCCCCCCCTGTTCCTGGTTCCCCCGACCCTGGTAGTCCTAGCCCCGACCCCCCCCGCGTCCTTCCCCGTCCGTTGTGTCTCACGTTACTCCCCTCACGTCGGTTGTCCCGGTTGAGGAGTCTGCTGACTCTGGTGGTCCTGCGGCCCAGTCCTTGCCGACTGCCTCCCCCCCGGTGTCTCTTCCTCCGCCGCCACAGCAGCAGTCGTCGCCGCTACCGCCACTGTCATCGCCGCCACAGCCGTCATCCCTGCCGCAACAGTCGTTCGTCACCTCTGGTGGTGCTGGAGTTGGGAGGGGTACCGGTGCTGGAGGGGTTTCTGGCTCTGGGGGTGTTCCCTCTGGGGGTGCAGGAGTGGAGTGTTCCGGCAGTCGCCGTGGCGCCGCTTACGGCCTTAGAGTCGGTGTTGTGCCGCAGCAGCCGCCGTCCCCCGCCGGTGACCGCCCTTTGCCTGCTTGGCCTTCCGTCCCCTGCCCCTGCATATGTTCCTCTCCTGCCGTCCCCTCCTTTTCCGGTCTACGGCCCTGTGTTCCCTCCCCCGGACTCGTCCCCGGCTCGTCTCCCTCCTCGTTCCCACCTTGTGTCTCCTCCGCTGTCTCCTGACCCGACGCCTCCGTCGCACGTCTCGTCTCTCTGTCCCTCCCGTGCTCGCCCTGTCTCCCTTGTCTCGCGCTCCCACCCTATGTTGCTTCGTTTCCACGTGGCTCGTCCTCCCCTCCTCTTGTTGCCTCCTCCGTCCTCCCTTGTCGTTGCGCCTCCCCCTCTGTCTGACTACCTTCGTGCCGCTCGTCCTCTTGTTCCTTGGGTCCTTGCGCCTCTCGTTACCGACCCGTCTGTTCCGGTTTCGCGGCTTGACGCTCTTGTCGCTGCGGTCGCTGACTTCGCCTCTACCCCCCGCCTTGACTACGCCACCGCTCTGGTCTCTGACCCTGCCTATCCTCCGTCTGTCGGGGGTGCTCCTGCCCTTGGCAATGACGTCCTGGAGGACCGCCAGTACGAGCTTGCTTTCCTGTCCGAGGCTGCTCCCCATCTCTGTTCCATGCTGCTAGTCCCTGAGGATGACCTAGATGCTTTCGACATCCCGACCCTTCGCATTTACGCTGAGGCGGTTTTGGGACCTTGGGCCTCTTAGTGGATTCCTGCCATGGAGCAGGAGATGGCATCTTGGAGATCCACCGGCACCTACGTCGACGCAGTTCCCCCACCTGGGGTGAACGTAGTCGATGGCCGCTGGCTCTTCAAGGTGAAGCGCCCTCCTGGAGAGCCGCCTATGTTCAAGGCGCGCTACGTGGCTAGAGGTTTCAGTCACCGTGAGGGGGTGGACTTCTTTCAGACCATCGCTCCGACCCCGAAGATGACTACTCTTCGGGTGCTGCTACACGTAGCAGCTAAGCGTGACTACGAGCTTCACTCCCTCGACTTCTCCACTGCCTTTCTTCAAGGCAGTCTACACGAGCAGGTCTACTTGCGCCGCCCTCAGGGCTTTACTGGTACCTTCCCTTTTGGGACCCAGTGGCTCCTTCGGCGCCCCGTCTACGGTCTGCGGCAGGCTCCCCGTGAGTGGCACGACACGCTGCATGCTACCCTTGCTGACCTGCAGTTCTTTCCGTCCTCTGCAGACCCCTCGCTCTTCGTTCGTGCTGGTCAGACTCTGTTCTGCATCCTTGTTTACGTAGACGACCTGGTTTTCGCCACTGCAGACAGGGACGCACTGGCCTCGGTGAAGGCAGAGCTGCTGAAGAGACACACCTGCACAGACCTTGCAGAACTCCAGGGACAGAGCAGCGCGCACCATCACCTTGACTCTGTCACACTTGGTGTGCCAGGTCCTTCAGAGGTTCGGCCTTCAGTTCTCCTCCGCACAGCCCACCCCTCTGCCTCTAGACCACAGGCTCTCTGCTCCAATTCCAGAGGAGTCAGTAGAGCCCAGTGGTCCTTATGAAAAGCTGGTGGGTTGCCTCATGTACCTGATAACTTGCACTCGCCCAGATCTCGCATACCCTCTCAGCATTCTAGCTCGCTTTGTGGCCACACGCAGACACCGACCTCAGTACTGGTCTGCCGCTAAGAGGGTTTTGCGTTATCTTGCAAGTACATCAGGCATGGGGTGAGTCCTAGGAGGACGCAGGCCAGTAGTCCTTATTGGACACACAGACGCTTTTTGGGTAGACGACGCCGAGACCCTCAGGTCCTCGCAGGGCTACAGCTTTAGCCTTGGTTCATGTGGCGTCTCGTGGAGAGCTACCCGCTCTTCGTCTGTTGCCCATTCCAGCTGTGAGGCCGAGATCTACGCCGGTGCCATGGCGGCACAGGAGCTCCGCTGGCTAACCTTCTTGCTCACTGACTTAGGTGAGCGGCCTAGCTCTGCCCTGGTCCTGTACGCTGACAATAGGGCCATGATCCTCCTGTATCAGGAGCCTCGACTCGAGGGCAGAGCGAAGCACATCCAGCTGCGGTACTTCCTCCTGCGTGAGCTACGGCAGCGTCGCCAGGCCCGCGTAGTACACTTGGCCTCCGGTGCCAACACAGCTGATATCTTTACGAAGGCGCTTGCGCTTAAAGATCATCAGCGGCACTGTTTACAGCTAGGTCTCGTTCCTGTAGTCTCTCACTTGCTAGGGCCTTGACTTTGTACTATCCCTTATATATGTTTTACCCTGACTGGCCTTGTGGCCTCTCCCAGTGGTTGGACTAGTAGTGCCGCCCTGGTTTTGCTCTTGCCTTGTCTGTACTCCTTTTGACTGGTCTTTAGACCCTTGTCTCATAGGCTGGACTAGTAATACCGCCCTGAGCTACTTCTTCCCTTGTCAGGCACTGCCCCAATATAGTCTAGGGGGTGTGTTAAACATAACTTATATAGCACACTCCCTCGCTTCTAACAAACGCGTCCACCTACAGATGACATCGACGTCACGGAAGCACACTC